CCCTCCAAACACACATCCCACCCTGCCACGGAGCCTGCGGTGCTTCCTTCAGTCCGGGGTCTGTCCCTGCCCCTCGCCACCATTCCCCGTTTGTTAAGCGACTCTGGGCAGCCTGAGACAGGGCCCTGCCCAGCTCTCTGCCCCCGAGGCTGCCCGCAGCCATGTCCATGGGGCGAGACCATCCTAGCGAGGCCGGCGTTCCAGGCTCACAACGGCGCGTGCACTTTCTCCTCTAGAATGCATTTGGGGAAGAAAATGTACCTTTTGTCCAGTAGAAGGTGCAGACCTGCAAGAAAGATGATGGAGAATCCGACAGGTTTCGGAGAACCTGCCGTCTAGGGTCCCGCGTCATCACAGCCGTGGTCTGGGCGGAAGGGGAGCCGCCGCAGAAACGGGTGGCCCTGTGGGGTCGGCTGCGCTTGGCTGGGCAGAGCCACTTGTCCGTCCCTGTGTCCCTGCCCTCCCTGAGGTTCTGAGGGTGCAGAGCTGGGGCAGGGGCAGGGGCCCGAGCAGGAGAAGCTGGGCGAACAGGCTGCCTGGAGCGCTCCTGTTACCCAAAGCCATCCGGTAAGCGACAGTCTGTGAGCTCATCTCAGTAAGCGCCACCTGCGAAAAAAGTGTCCAGACACACTGGCAAGGCCTCCCATTCCGTCCGAATGCTCTAGAAGTCCAGGAAACCGGCGCTTCCAGGGCGGGTACTGTGCACTCGCCATGGGACCTGAAGCCTCGGCCCTGGCGTTGCGGTCAAAGCCACATGCTGGCCGGGCCGCTGGGCCCCTGGAACCTCCCAGCCAAATGCATCGCGGTTCTAAGTGTAGTGGGGACCGAGTTGCCTTGTTAAGCACAAGGCTGCCACGCGGCCAGTGAAACTGGAAAGACCAGTGGCTTTATGGCGCATCTAGTAAGCATCGGGCACTGACATATCTAATCACACAGTGGCCGGGGTGCACTGGGGCCCCTCTGGTTGAAGAGGAGCTGGAGGCCCACAGTGAGCCACCAAGGGTGCACACGCCAAATCAGGCAGCGAGAGTGAGGGGTGAGCACAGGAGAGAGACCATGTGGGGCAGGGAAACATGGAGTGTTTGCAAAGATTGCTGCAGTGGGCCAGTAATGTCCCCAAAGACAACCTCCTCCTAACCCCACACCTGTGGGTGTCACCCTGTGCAGGAGGAAGGACTCTGAAGAGTGACTGCCAGCTGCTGATTAATAAGTGTCAAGATGGGAGACTGTCCTGGGTTTGCCGGGTGGGCCTTGCGTGGCCTCACACATGTCCACTTTCTCCTCACAGACAGGAGGCGGACTCCTAACCACAGAGGCGGAGCTTGGAGCTCCAGGGTCACAGCCAAGGGATGCCTGGAGCCACAGAAACTGGAAGAGGCGGGAAAGATACCTCTGGAGACTCCCGAGGGCCCTGCGGCACCTGGTAACTCCTATCAGGCTTGTGGCCTCCAGAACCTGAGAGGGTTAATTCCGGTCGTTTGAAACCATCAAGTGTGTGGTCAATTGTTACGGCCACCCCAGGCCACAAAATCAAATGCGCAGTCAGCCCTCACTCATTCTGCAGCTTCAGGTGAAGACAAATAGCAGAGCCAACTTGACCACAGGCGCTGAGACAAACAAGAGTTAAGTTCCTAGAGCATCTCATCAACGTTATAATGAGAAATATCGTTACTCAAGGACCTGCTGTATATGATAAACTTTGCATAATAAATATAGCTTTCCTACTTTCTAAGTGCTCTGGTTTAAAATGTTATTGAGACAACATAAACTAGTAATAATAATAGTAATAATAATAATAACAAACCCTCAGCCTTCTAAGGAGCCCAGTCCAGCCACCTCCCAAACCCTGGCAGACAGTGCTCTAACCTCTCATGTGCAGGGCCCAGGGGCTCCGCCTGCCTCCTGGCCAGGCCACCGGGGCCCTGAGAGCCTAGAGGTTGCAGAGGAAACACACCCCCACTTGCTGCTCAGGTGGGCATAGGACCACCCTGCCCCTGCCCACAGCACAACCCCACCAGCCAGAGCCACAGTCTGGAGGAAGAACAGCCCAGAGCTGCACATCCCCAGGCTGCACCTATCTCCCAGGCCACACCCTGAGGCAGCGACAGCCGGCCCCAACCACAGGCAGAACGGGCCCAGTATTTCCACAACCCTCTCCCCCAGCACCTACAGCAAGGATGGGGACCTCTGGCCTGCATGCCTTATACGGCCTTTGAAATCATCTGGTCTGGCCCTGCTAAGGTGGGACTCAAAATTCAATAAATCTAGGAGCTTTTTTCATAGCGAATTTTTAAGTTGATAATTTTGTATGGCCGGCGAATCATGTTATAAATATCCAAATGGTCCTTGGCAGAAAAAAGGTTCCCCACCCCCGATCTACAGGAACTCAGTGACAATGCAAAAGAAAGGGGGCCACATGCCCCAGAGACAGGCACCCACGTGGGGAGCCATTCCTGGGACCCAGAATCCAAGCCACCCTCCCCCGTCACCAGGTCCCTGTGACTAGCACTCAGCAGCCCACCACCCTCTGTCCGCCTGCCTCAGCTCTACCCCAAGCTGGTCCCTTGGGCCCACGGAGCAGACTTGGTCAGGACCGGCCACCCCGCCCCAACACACAGCAGAACTTTTACGAGCTGGGCAGCATCTTGTGGGAAAATAAACCAGCACTAATGAGGGTTCCCCAGGAACCAGCTCCAAACACCAACAAGGAAGGAAGGGCGTTGGGGGCCTGTGCCGGGGCAACACACGACACAGAGGGGGGTNGGACCTGACACAACCAGAGCAGCCCTACCAGTGACCACCACAACCATCTGTTGGAGAGAATCATGGCCACACATCTTCCCGACCCATCAAGACCTACAGGAGGACACAGTGTGACGGCAGCATGGCCAGAGCACCAGCTTCCTCAAGGGCCAAACATGGGTCGGGCCGTCCTCAAGGTCACCACAGGCAACTGACTCATGTAATGAGGCTTCTGAGCCCTGCGCTGACACCAACAGGGAAGGGGGCATGTGAGCCTTCTGTGGGGACAACATAGGCCAGGCACCAGATATAAAAGCCCTGTAGTCCCAGGACACCTTACACACACTCACACTCGCTCAACATCCGCTCACTCCTCCCAGCTCCCCTGCACCCCACCGCCCGCCATGGCCGCGTCCACCCTGTCCGTCTGCTCCAGCGACCTGAGCTATGGCAGCCGCGCCTGCCTGCCCGGGTCCTGCGACTCCCGCACAGACTCCTCCTGGCAGGTGGACGACTGTCCAGAGAGCTGCTGTGAGCCCTCCTGCTGTGCCCCCAGCTGCTGCCAGCCCTCCTGCTGCGC